TGCTTGTTCCCAGGAGTTGGGATCACCAGTAAGTCGGGATCGATACCACAGCCACTCAAGTGAGAGGACAGCGTTAGGCCACTTGCCCTTTTTGCGTTTGGCATGAGGGTGAGTTGCCAACCATGAAGCATTTCTCACCTGCATTAGATGACTGATAGGTCTTCTGAGGGCAGGATCTAACCTCGCCGCGTGACCCCAGTAATTCATGAAGGACTCCAAATGAATGGCGTCCCATGGACGATTTCCACAGGACTGCGCTGCCATGCGCGAAGCACGTCGGCGCGAGGCCCAATTCTCGCACGAAGTTTGCAAAGGGTCGGAGGGCAAACGCGTCATTGACATGAGAAAATGTGTTTGTAGAGTCCTCAGCTGTTGGGCTACGGCGTGCAAAGGCCGAACAGCGGCTGAAAGCCATCTCCAACGGCTCGTCACAAAGGAATCGAGCAGATGAAGTCGTTTGACCAAGGAGCCTCTCGACCTGGATAGAAAGGACAAGTAACCGAAAAACGAGTTCGTTGCCATTCGTAGTCTTGCCGAGAGGGTCATCTGGCACGTAATCGAGAACCCAACCAAAATGCCTAGGAACGTGAAAGAGTCGACAAGCTCGAGGGGTTTCTCAAAGCCCCTGGGACAGACCGGTTCGCTGCCGCAGAGATCAGGAGATTGGATATACTGGCATTTATTACGAGCCAAGGAAAGTCCGATCGCATCAAGACTGGCCTGTATCTCATCGAGAAGTCTCTCGAGTTGACTCGCACACGTGGCTAACACGAGTAGGTCATCTGCGTAGAGAATGAGAAACAAAGGTCTCCCTGAGCTGTCCCTCAGCCAGGTGGACTCCTGAGATTCCCAGCTCAATACCAGAGGCCCCAGAAAGTGATCTAAACAACGTGCAAACAGTTCTGCCGAAAAAGCAGACCCCTGAAGGATCCCTCGCCGCAATTTCTGAACCCATGATTGGTTACAGAAGCTCAATTTGACACTGGATTGAACAATAAGGCTCAGGAGGAGCCTGCTCTCTTGATGCGGGCCAAGGGAGCCAAGGAACTTCGCCAAGGCACAGTGGTCAAGCGTATCAAACGCGGCTTGTACATCCAGTTTGCATGCCATTAGGGGCAAGCCCCATTGTCTAGAAAGGTGGATCGCATGCTTCAGTGCGACTGAACCATCTAGAGACTGGGCACCAGGCTGCGAAGACAGCTGCCCTGTCAACATGACAGGAAAATGCTCTCTGAGGCGGAGAAGCAATGCTTTGGTCAGCAGCTTCGAAAGCGTGGCTGCCAGCACGATTGGGCGAAAATCTTTAGGAGCCCGAGGCTCTTTAATCTTCGGAAGCAACACAATCTGTGATTGAAGCCATTGTGCAGGGAAACCTCTATTGCAGAGCAAAACATCATTTAAGAACTCGAGAAGATGCTCAGAGGCCTCACTCTGGAGCACGGCACACCAAAACTCATATGGTGCCCCATCTTCCCCGGCGCTCTTCCCGCTCTTAGTCTGGAGCAAGACTGTTTCAAGCTCCTCCTTAGACAGGAGAGCCGGTCCTGGCAGCCTGGGTCCAACCATGTTGTCATAGATATGGAGTGGGTCGTGCAGGGGACAAATGTCAGGGGGTGCATACTTGGTTTGATAGAACGCCTTGAGGCCACCGACAGCGGGCCCTGCCCCCCCAACACGACAACAGTAGTCGTGCTGGCAATGGGATACATTCTGCTTGCGTCGGAAATAGCTGATGACCTGATAGTCCCCAGAGGCAGCTCTATCCAAGAGCTGAATGCGCCAGTTCTTCTTCGCCTCACCCCTTGCACGAACAATCTCTCTACCCAGTTGTCGTTTCTCAATCGGATCCGAAGATTGTTTGCGCTGGGAGATTAGGTCCTTGATTTCCGGCGGGTCCTTGAAGCGGAAGCTCCTAGGCCGATACGTGCTTTTAGCACATACTTTCAGGAAATCCTCCTCAGTCAAGTCTCTCCTGTCAAGGTCAGCGCGGCATGCAAGATCATTGCATTGGGGGACAGCCTTAGTGTAGTCAACAATCCACTTCCCGCATTTGGTCCTCTGTTGACGAGCTCGACGCCTTTCCCCCGATCTGACAACCGAGACACAGACACGACAGAGCTTGTGATCAGACTGGATAAGGTGGTCACTATCTTCGACAACCTCCTGTTCAAGCGTGTCCTGGTGAGGAGTGCGGTACAGAACATAATCAATGGAAGAATGGCTACCCCTCGTATTGGACCAGGTGTGCTGTCGAGGCGTTGTGTGAGCCAATCCCAAGTCCCTCACAAAAAGATTCAGCAAGGCACTGCGCTCATCCGAGTTCTCAGTACTGGAATGCATTAATTCATAATTAAGGTCGCAGCAGATGAAGATCCTGTCCTGATGACGGGCACCCTCAAGGAGCCGTCGCATAGACTGTATCTGGGAGTCCCAAATGCTGGCCGAATCATTCCTATTTGAATAGGGGAGATGCACTGTAAGCATGTACGTGGAAACCCCTCCTTCTCGGAGGTGTACACACATGCCACAAGGTAGAACAGAAACGTGTTTCATGAAAGAAAGGAGTCCTGACGGAAAAGCAACTGCTTGACACATGTAACTGTCTGGCGGAGAGCCGACAACGAAAACAAACTCTTGCCCTTGGAGAAACAGAGACTTCTTGTCCCATTTCCCAACAGCGACGTCCTTGCAGCCTCCAAGTTCCTGAAGGCCAATTATGTCCATGCTCCCAAGCTGGAGCAGGTCCGCGGTATTCTGGAGGTCCTCCAAATGTTTTCCTCTCAGATTCCACGTGCATGCATGAAAAGGTACCGAAGCACCTGCAGTGGGAGCCTGCTGCATTTGTCAACCCTGAGCATCAGTTGAGCGGAGCAGGTGCAGTCCCTTGTCCCACCAAGTAGGCAGATCCTCAGGGGGGTACCCAGTGATCATATGGAACCTCGAGGCCAAAACAACCCACCCAGAGTGGTCGCCTCTGTTGTCCGTCATGTAGACATCCGAGGGATGGGCATCGTTCGGCAACAGATGGGCCTCAGCAATGGCCTGAGTGGCCCCAACATAAAGACGACCCCTCCAGTCGATCTCAGGGGCCTCACGAGTTTTCCCGTTCGCAAGGGGGATCCTTTGATAAAACGTCTTAAGCTGAACAAGTCCCCTGACTTTGTTGCGTTCCTCAATCGAACGATTTCGGGTGATCCAGAGTGAATTGTTCTTAGACCCCGACACGCCCGAAAGAAATTGGGTCCCTTTCAATTTGTCAAGGGTTTGGGTCTGGAAAGCCCTGCGCGCAGGCAGAGAAACAGTCTCAGGCGGGAAGAGTAGAGTGACTTTTGCAAAGTTCGTGCGGATGTAGGGAATGATGATTTCTGAAATTCTCCCTTCCAAACCACAGGTTCTGAAGATTTCACGAACTTCGCCTTCGACATCACCCTTGCGTCCTTCGGTCCAGCCACCCAAAACCAGCTGGAGGTCCTCATCAGGGTCCCTGTTGCCACCTCGGGGGCTCCTTGGAGAGCGATCGCCTCTGTCATCCCGAACTGGTGACAAACCTCTATGAGACGGGGTGGGGGAGCGGCTTCGTTCGCTTTCAAGGGCTTTCAGGGCTTTGACCTGTTTCTCGAGTTCACAAACACGCAATATCGTGGATTCATGCAGCTCCGTGTGTTCCCTAGTTACTCCCTCAATATGCTCCAAGCGAATATGGTGCTGCGACATGTCCGAGCGCACACCAATCATTTCCGTGTGCATCTTGTCCACAAGATCCTTCGAGGTATCAGATTTACCGTGGAGTTCCTGCAAACTGGAATGGATCTGTTGCAAAGCTTCAAGCCAACTGGGGTTTTGCGACGAAACACGCGGGCCTCTGTTGTTCCTTACGGACGTGTATGGGTGGCTTCCCCGGGAGGGTTCCATTTCGGCATCAACAAGCTCATCCCGCTCCCTGTCGAGTTTAGGTTTCTTAACTTCAGGCTTCTCTCCCTCGGAGGAAGAGAGAGCAGCTTCTGCGGATGACCTGAAAGAGCTGGGAAGTCCTGCAATTTGTCCATCATTACGAACGTGTGTCAGAGGTCTAGATTTCCCCAACTGAACAGGAAGAGCAGATGACCCAACCAGTGATTGCCCCTCGAGAGCCTGTGTATGCCTTGCAAACTGCAAAGGAGCTCCAGAGTTCCCAGAGGGGCCTACAGGGGAGCTCAATCTATGAGGACAGTTCGTAATGCTAAAGGGAGGAGCAGGGGTTGGAGGTGACTCACGCTTATCATCCCTTGCAAGGTCAAAGGTAGGGACAGGTGCAAAGGAGGTGGGAACAGGGACATCAAAAGGGTCCTCGTCTCGAGTTACTTTTCCAATCCCTCCTCCAAGTGGGGACTCGTCACCCCCACCAAGCTCTGGCGTCCCTGGCCCCGGTACTGGAGGGACACTCGGATCAATAAGATCACCCCTTGATGCAAGCAGCCCCGAAATTTGCCTAGGCGATCCCGGCTCCGTCATGCTATCGTCCTGGTCCTCGTCTTTACCTGCTTCCTCGGTGAGGTCGTCAATCGTAGCTGCAGGTGCGGGACTGAGAGGTGCTCTATACCCCAAGGCTCCCGGGAGAAGAAGGGTTTCGGCCTGAGAAGTCATCTCTCCGCAGGGAAGTGCTGGGGTCAGGCAAGGAAAGGCAGTGCAAAGGGAAGTGCAGGAGGCAAGAACACCTTCAAAGGCGAAAGGCTACAAAATACAGTGCAGGAGAGAAAACAGTACAGTCCGGCAAGGCAAGGCAGTGCAAACAGTCCCAAGGGAAGAGAAAAGATCAAGAGAGAGGAGGAGGAGAAGAGAGAAGAAGACGACGGGACCGAGAGGGACTCAGGACTCAGGACGCCACTCTGAAATTCACTTGAGCCAAAATGGCTTGAGCCGTAGCAAGTAGTAATAGTGTGTGGTGTGGCATTGTAAAAGGAAGCTGCAGTACAATCAAGAATGGATTCGCCCCTGATTCATTTACGGTGCTAGCAGGATGCCGCACATCGGTGTCCTGGATGGAGCCCTCCAGCAGCGCTTCCCAGGTGTTGTAGTGCCAGGAAATCGCCTTGAGAACCATAACCACACAACTGCACATCGACACCATGGATTTAGGGCAAAAAGGGCCCTACGATTGCTGTTTCACACTCTGTGAAGCATTGAAATCATGCCAGTTCATGCCAGCAAAAATCCCCAAACAGTGAAACCTCACCACGACGTTCATAAGGGCCATGACCCGTGCGACTACCCGGGCCGCCCAAATGCGATCAATCGGAAGGGCAAAAAGCGTTCAACCACAAGTGCTAGAACACTAGAAAGTTGCACGTGGACTGGAACTTACACTGAACTTGGCTCTGGGGCCGCACGGACCTTGTCTAAATAGAAGGGGGAGCCGCGTTTCAGCTTTTCCACGAGCGCCGCTCTGCTTCAATGATCAATTCACTTTACACTTTACTCGTAACGTTGGAGTGCATAAAACCGCTTCTGGGAACTATAAGCGACCCAAGCATGAACAGCAACAAACGATTCCACCGCCTGACAACAGCCTGACCTGTCTGGGCCCAGCCTCCGCGAACCGCAGCATCTCGCCTTGACCATGATCCAGGCCACGCAGCCATGTCCGAAGCTCCGCGGCAAAGCCTGGACGACGGACGAGGAGGTGATTTCGGAAACATGGGTTCACGCTGTTGCTTCGTATCTTGCTTCGGGTCAGCAACCAGCCACCAATGGCACCTACTACACCGCGGCAGTGGAGAGGATGCGAATTCTGTTTCTAAAACTTTCAATTCCGAGCCGGGAGAAACCTGTACCTGGTATATTGCAGATACACTTCACAGACTTCACCACGTGGGCTTACTTTCGCCGGCAAACCGAAACACTGCACTAGGCCGAGGACTCCAAACTTGAAACCCCCGCTGCGCCAGGGCTGGACTAGTCAAACCCGAACCATGATGGCTTCTGTGTAACGTGTAGGCACGGATGCTTGCAGGAACGGCTTTGTTTGCATGGTCTACTTTACACTCGGTGTACCCGAAACTCAACACCATATGGCAGGAGAGTGCACAGAGAGCCACAGGTAAGACAGAGATGGATGAGGGATTGGCTGCAGTTCCATGGGATAGCGGGACCTTTGCTCCAGCAGATGCCTTTTCGAATGAACATAGTACGCACAGGAGCTTCAACATTCAACACAGATGCGAAGATAAAACGTGCGAGCGCCACAAGACTGATCACAAAATGAGAACGACCCCTAACTTTCGAAGCCCAACCCTTGCACGTGGCAGATGATGTCAAGACGAATGGCCACCTTGCCCAGACCATCCGTCGTTCCACTCGTGCGGGCTTCTGTCCGCCGGAGTCCTCAGGGTTGAAGCGCACAGGGATATCTCTTACACTTTTGCCTGTTGGATTCTTGGGCTTCGGGAACTAGTGCACAACTCCAGCAGTGCACCATTCCAGCCCTGCTAGAGGCGATGTGTTGAAATGCACAAACGGTCAGACTGGTACGGTACTGAGCGGGAACGGCTATCATGCTCTCACTTACAAGTAACAGCACTAGCTACTGCAAGTAGCCGCAGTCCTTTCCCAAGCAGAAGCAGAAGCTCTTCGAGGTTCCGTCCAGTCAGAACTACTCGCCTCGGCGGCCCTCGCTCTCTCCCAAAACGAGTGCTTGAGGGTCACATTGATGGCCTTCGTCCTTCCACTTTGCTGTTCTTCAATGTCAAAGGCTACTTCGGTCCCTTCGGTCAAGGCGAACCAGCGCAGCTCGGAGAAGTGCACAAACACATCACGCTCGTCAGACTCGTTGTGGATAAAGCCATAGCCCTTCTCACTAAAAAGCCTCTTCAAGATCCCTGTGTGTGCCATGGCTTGGCCGTCGCATCCTCGAGCCCCCTGGCTTCAAAGCCGCAAGCCTTCCGCAACGCACAAATGCAAGAATGATTGCCATCTGACTGGTAAGACTGCATGCCTGACTTTTGTTGAATTGGGGCTTGGGCAAGACAAACCTATCCCCCAACCAATGGCTTAAGGGCCCTATAGCCCCTCAACGAACCATCCTGCATGTCATATTCTCAAGACCTACATGTCACGTGCCCTTACATCTTCTTACGGTTGGGAGCCCCTGGGCTGTCGGAACAGTCTCTTCGGAAGGGGAGGTGAGGACATTGCTAGCGTTGTACACTCAGCTGCCTTCAAGGGGATGCACTTCTCAGCCGAAGCCGTCGGCATGCCACCAAAATTGGCTCCCAAACATTCGTGTCTCAAAGCTGGCAAAACCCTTCATTCGCAATGCACTGATAAACTGCTTACACCTTCATGCCAACATAGGGATTCCGAACAACTTCTCCATCTTGATGCCTGCATTGGTGTTATAAGTCTTCTGGCTCTCGGGGGCGATGACACGGACAACTTTTGCTGCCCTCCCCAGCGGCTGTGTTCCAAGTCGCATAAGATGGAAAAACTGGACACTCGAGCAATGCACTGTGGCATGTTCGGTTATGGCCAGTACTGGGCGCTGGGTCTAGCATCTAGCTGGGCAGCAATCCTTTGGCTACATCAGTTCGACTTCGGAAACGATCCGAGTCACAAGGTCGGACCGGCCCCAAAGCGCTTTGGCCCAGTCCAGCTCCAAACGCCGCCGCGCTGGGGAGCAAACGAAGGCAAGCAAAAGGGCAGCATGCGCGGCCAGCAAATGGCGCCCGCACATGCCAGTTCCGAAGGCATGCCACAGCTGGAAGGCAGATCCGGCAAAGAGTGCCCCCTGCATGTAGGACAAGGAGAAGTCTGCATTGAGGCCGCCCTCTGAACTCGGCAGCCGCACTCCGAAGTTCCGGGTGCCCACTGCAAACAGCCAGGAACTGGCCACCACGGCTGCAAGCACACCAGCAACCACCAAAGGGATCAGTGGGCCCCAGAAAATCAGCGTTTCCAGGAAGGTCGTCAACATGGCCCCTTGCTGCGCTTGCTCGAGAGATCTGCGAGCTACCAGGGGTGCAGAAGGAGGCCGTGGGAGTTTTGGGTCTCATCGTGGCAAGTGGCTTGGCCCAGGAGTTATACTGTGTATGGTTTGGATTCAATTAATCGAGGCCTGACGTTCTCGCAATCAGAGCTTTATGGTTTTTTAGGACCCGTGACCCAAACCTCGTCGTCTTTGGCCAAATTCCGAAGAGTTTTAGATGCCGTCCGCGATCTGAGCTTGCGGTGTTGTCCTCGGGACATTAATTTGGTGCTTGAACTCACAGTTCGTCGGGGTTTAGATAAATTCAGCGCTCTGTGGGCCCTAGTTCTTGGCTCCTGCTGGCCTCCGAAACCCAGTCAGCAGGTCTAGGATGTTCGCCAATACAAGTGGCGAAGGACAATCATGCAGATAGCAGCAGGCATGGTGAGGATAGCGACTGGGCCTTTGAAGGGAGATGATGGTGCAAATAAATGTATAACTTTATCCGCAGGAGAGGTCCTGCTTGGCTGGAGGGTTTGGAGACGGGTCTCTTTTTTGGCCTCGCGCCTGGCTAAGACGAACGACGGGCCTCTTAGGTTTGAGCCTTTCCAGCGTCAACAGACCGACTCGTCAGAGATGGGATTCCGTAAGTGCTTTCGGTATGTTCGGAAAGTGCCGGAACTTCGGGTTCATGATTATTTGCCCTTCGAACTACCAGGCTCAGGTAACACCGAGCAGCAAATACATTGATACATCTTCTGCCACAGGCCCCGGCGTGTAGGGAATCTTATGCCGAGTTGTGCCGCACAATCCTAGGGCCTAGGGCCTAGGGTCCTCCAGTCGGGAAAGTTTCCAGGTCGCAAGGAGGAGGACAGGCTGCGCCAAAGTACGGACCTGGGCACTTCACAGGGATACTTCGATGGCTCTGCTTTGTTCTTACTTCGAAGTAAGAATATTTTCCACTGCATGTTGTTCGCGTGCCAGCTGCATTCGTTGGTGGAAAGTGCCTTCTTGCTGCTGAGGCTGTACATGTGCAGTGCTTCGGGCCTTTCGAGCTGCCCACCTCCGTAAATACATGCACATCGGCTACCGCCAGTTGTTGTGGGTGCTTCCCGAGCGCGAATTCACCAACACACACAAACACACAACACAGACAGACGGATGGCCGACCGGCAAGGCAAGGCAGGCAGACAAACACTTTGTGAGTGCAGCTGCCTTTGATGCGGATCTGAAACGGCGCCGGCCCACCTTCCACTGTACTACAGTCTGCAATATGCCCTTAACCGAGGCGGGGGTTGTCGCCTCGCTACTCTTCCGTGGCCCTGGCCGCAGCTGGCAGCCGGGAGCTGCTTTTGGAGTTGTTGCCCGTATGCGCTGTAGTTGGCATTGGTGCCGACATGATAAGCCTCAAAAGCAAGGCCTGAAGACCTGGACGTGCAGTAACCTCCGAGGCAAGGACTTCCTCCCAGGCCCTCCCCGACTCTTGGCTAAAAGGCTGACGGGGATGCACCAGCTGTCCCGCCAGTCTCTGCCCGTACACTGCACATGGACACAGGTCGCCTGCCTACCCAGCCATGCAGCCGGTGTCAAGATGTCTTCGCACTGAGGAACGAGCCAGCAGCTTCTTCAGCAACAGCGGGGCCAAACCCTCAATGATGGAACGACTACACCGACCATCTCGCCACCAGCTTCCTCGACATTAGCTGTTCTGCCTGTTTCAGATTGTAAAGAGGCATGAGTACTCAACCGAAAAATGTTTAACCAACACAGGCCCAGCCGCTGTCGAGCTGGCAAATGTCCTCGTCGGTCTTGAGGATTGGCTGGCCCCATAATTCCTGCATCGTACACCCGTCTGGTGGGGGGGTTTAATCGGTGCGATTAATGAGGGAATGAACGAGATATGCACGAGTGCAGAGATTGAGGAAACCTTATAACATGCAAGCCAAACCGCAAGGCACTTCATACATAATACCTACTACTTGGCCTCTGGGGCCAGACTCTAGGGCCGGCGCCGTAAGCCCAAATCACGAACACAACTTGAGTCTGCATGCGGCTTTCTGGGCCGAGCTGCCAAGTTGAACATCTGGTGCTCCGGAGCAGCTCTGTCGCAGACCTGCCAATACCACCTGGCCACTGCGATAACATGCTCATGAGAGGGTAGGGGATTTAAGCGAGTTTTGCTGCTGCTACCACTGCCACCAGCATCAACACCGCCAATGCCAGCACTGGCACTGCTATTGGGAACTACCCCTGCTCCTGCTCCTACCCCTACTCGTCCTCCTACAACTCTACAACGGGTGCTGCTACAACTACGACGACAACAACAACAACAACAACTACTCCTACTCCTACTCCTACTCCTACTCCTACTCCTACTCCTACTCCTACTCCTACTCCTACTCCTACTCCTACTCCTCCTCCTCCTCCTACTACTACTACTACTACTACTACTACTACTACTACTACTACTACTACTTCCTACTCGATTCCCTCCTCCACCATCACCAGCATCACCACCACCACAACGACGACTTCTACGACTACTACTACGCGGCTACTACTGCTACTGCTACTGCTACTGCTACTACTACTACTACTACTACCACTACTACTACTTCCTACTCGATTCCCTCCTCCACCATCACCAGCATCACCACCACCACAACGACGACTTCTACCACTACTACTGCTACGAGGCTACTAATACTACTACTACTACTACTACTACTACTACTACTACTACTACTACTACTACTACTACTACTACTAAGTTACTACTAAGTTACTACTAAGTTACTACTACTACTACTACTACTACTACTACTACTACTACTACTACTACTACTACTACTACGGGATTCGGCATTATTTGACGCCATGTTTTTCCTGTGTTTAAGACTTCCACGACTTTGTCTGAGGGCCTGGATGTGTTGATATTTACAGTATTTCCGTGCTTATACGTCTTTATCTCTTTAAACAAGAACCATGCAGACCCGAGCGCCTTAACGACCTAAAATACAGTCATAACACCTGTCTTTAGGACTTGCACGACTTTGCTTGCGGGCCTGAATGTGCTGATTATTTCCTTTGCCGCGAAAACGTGGGTGACCTGGGGTGGGGTTGGGCGGGGCTAATCGCGAGCATCTTCAACGACATCATCATATTCGTCAACATCATGATACTCATCAACAGCATCATACTCATAAACATCATCAGACTCATCGACTCATCAACATCATCATGACCTGTCCTACTCTCCTACTCCTACTGCTGCTGCTACTGCTACTGCTACTGCGACGACGACTACTACCAGTTCCTTGGTCTGCCAGTACTCAGTAGCGGGATCGAAAAACATCGCTGAAACGCATCCGGTCCACTTCCAGGCTCCCAGGCAGTTCTCCTTGAATGCATCGGCTTATGGGCAGGGCTTCTAGGAGCTTCTTGAAACCACGGGTCCCCACCATGACGCCGCTAACATCGTCTAACGGTTCTCCATCATCAAACCCACGAGGTTTCTGGAGTTTGAGGATTCGGACCTCGGACTTGGCCAAAGCCATGATTAGGCTCTCAACACTAAGCCAGCAATCAGGGCTTGTACATGAGATGCCACATGACATTGGTTGCTGCATCGCCGCTTGAAGATACGCACACGGAAAGGCGGTCTCTCTGTTGCAGTGTTGTGGCAGCCGGGTCCAGGCGAGGAAGTCTTAACCGTGAGATCTGAATCTAGATGATAGCAACAACAAGCCGCAACAACAACAGCATGCAACCACAACAACAACAGCAGCAACACTGCAGCAACACCAACATCAACAACAGCAGTATCAAACCAAAGCAGCAGCAGCAGCAGCTGCAGCTGCAGCAGCAGCAGCAGCAAAACCAAAACAGAACACCAGCACAACCACCACCACCTCCACTACCACCATCACCACAACAACAACAACAAAACAACCTAACAAGCAACCCACCAACCAAAGACACATGTACAGAAACGAACAACACAACAAACAAGGAACCAAACGAACAAACACACCAACATACCATAAACGAACAAACACAACACCACATACAGAAACAAACACGCAACAAACGACAAAACAAACACAAACACACACACACACACACGCACATACATACGAACAAACAAACACACATCCAAACACACACACACACACACACACACGCACACGCACATGCACACAAAAAACAACAAACAACAGACAACATAAAACACGCATAAAAACAAACCACAGCCACGACGACGATCACCACCACCACAGCAACAACAACCACGACAACAACAAGACGAAGAACGAAGGACGACGACGACGACATCAACAGCTCAGCAACATCTACACGAACATCAACAACCACATCAACATGAACATCAACAAAAGCATCAAAGACAAAACCAAACAATAATAGCAACACACATACACAACAAAACAACAAACACCAAGCACACACATCAACAAACAAAAAACAAACACCACAACCAACAACAAGACCACCACCACCACGACAAGGACAAGGACAAGGGCAACCACAACGAGCAACAAACAACAGCCCACAACAGCCAACAACAGCCAGCAACAACAACAACAACGACAACAACGAAAACAACGACGACAACAGACACAACCAACAACACCAACAACACCAACAACACCAACAACACAAACACCACCACCACCACCACCACCACCAACAACACCAACACCAACACCAACACCAGCAGCAGCAGCAACAACAACAAACAACAAACAACAACCAGAACAAACAACAACCACCACCCCCACCACCACAACCAGAACAACAACCAGAACAACAACAAGAACAACAACCAACCGACCGACCGACCGACCGACCAACCAACCGACCATCCAACCTTCCAACCTTCCAACGAACCAACCAAACAAAGAAGCAAACCAACACCACCACCACCACCACCACCACCAACAACAGCAACAGCAACAACAACAAACTATAGCCAACAACAACATCAACAACAACAACAACAAGGTACAAACAAAAACTGCAGCCCCGTCAACCCATATGTCTGCTTTTTGTCTGTACATTAGGTAGAGACAAAAACAGGAGCCCCGTCATGTTGTTTTACCCCCCCCCCCCCCCCCCCCACAACAACAACACAGTGCCTGTGGATGCCTGTGATGTATACTGTTTGGTGTGTATGTTCAAGGATTTCGTCTGTATGTCAATGGATTTCGTGCGTATTTCAGTGGATTTCGTGTGTATTTCAGTGGATTTCGTGTGTATTTCGGTGGATTTGGTGTGTATTTCAGTGGATTTGGTGTGTATTTCAGTGGATTTGGTGTGTATTTCAATGGATTTAATGTGTATTTCAGTGGATTTGGTGTGTATTTCAGTGGATTTGGTGTGTATTTCAGTGGACTTAATGTGTATTTCAATGGATTTGGTGTGTATTTCAGTGGATTTGGTGTGCATTTCAATGATTTTGGTGTGTATTTTCAATGGATTTGGTGTGTATTTCAGTTCCCCGCTGTGCAGATTATGCATTTGCGAGGCCTGTACAAACTACTGTATAGTAACTGGTAACTATAGTTTTGAGTGTATGGGTATCCAATGCAAACCCCTCACAATTCCAGACAAGCCCTTCCAACACCCCTCAGAACCCCTTCTGGATGTCGCAGATTCCTATAATTGTGGTGGAAATGTGGTGTAAGGTGGGCGGTTGTTGTAAAGGGGGGGTATCAAAACAACAGACCGGGCTCCAGTTTTTGCCTCTACTACAGGGGGTAGGGACAAAGTCCTGATTTCGCTGGTGCCTTTGTCTCTACCGCCTGTAGTAAAGGCAAAAACTGGAGCCCCGTCTGTTGTTTTGACCACCCCCCTCTTACAACAACCACCCAGCCTAGACCGCACTTCTATCATGGGGCAGTTGCTGTGTAAACCATGGCTTGCACTTCCCAAAGCTCTACACGCACCCTATGCGGTCGCCGGAAGCATTCCCAATTGCTTCTAATTAACAACAAGTACGGGCTGCTGTTTTTGTCTGTACCAACAACAACAACAACCACGACGACGACGACGACGACAACAACAACAACAAAGAAGACAACAAATAAAACAAAGACAACAACAACGACAACGACCACGACCACGACCAGGACCAGGACCACGACCACCACGACGACAACGACGGCAACGGCAACAGAAACAGCAGCAGCATCAACAACTACAGCAGCAACATCAGCATCAACAGCAGCAACATCAACAACAGCGCCAGTGCTTAAGCAAGTTCCTGTAGGAGGTTGCAACCACAAGTCTCAGTCTCTTTCTCTGAGCGTCTCTTTCGGCCACTTAACAATTCAACACTCTGCTGATCACAAGCCAAGCCACGTGCAGAAGCAAGGTGGCGAGCAAGGACAACAACCAAGCGGAGCAAAGCTTCATCGACATCAATAGGCGATCGGCTCGCATGCCAGTGAGCTTGGAGTAAGCATTCCTGCTGTCTGGGCTGTGGATGTGTTGGTTGAGCTTGTTCGAATTGCGGGGTCAACACGGGCAATGATAAACCGCTACGGCCCTAGTCTATCTGTTCGTGGCATTCAGAAACCCCAAGGAAGCACCAATTGTGGGCTGGGTCTTCGCAACTCGGATAAATAAGCACCAGAATTCACAGCAGAGCTGCGACAGGGGCATGGTGAGCACCATGTCCAAGAGCACAATGAGAATTGGAGCGAGCCGGTGGAGCAGTGCCAGGATTTGATCGCTCAGGCCCGAGGTGTTGTTGGCAGGCAAGGCCTGTGCACAGCGTCGGACCGGCCCCAACGAACCGAGGATGATAGATTAATGGTGGGGGTTGTCAGCTAGAAAGGCCAACGGCTGAGCATTGAGTATCACGGGAGCTGTCGCAAGCACCTTTGCCTAATTAAACTTTTCTATCGCTGGATCTTGGAGCAGACCACAAGCTCTTCCGGAATTTTGTGTGGTTGCTGCTCGGCGGCTTGCGCCTGAGTTGGGGCATGCAAGCAGCCTAAGAAGCCCCGCATTCAATTGCGTGGCTCGTCGAACTTGTTGGTTTAGCGACAACCACTGGTCTGAACTTGGGGAAACAGAACTACTAGGAGTCACCACTTATCGAGTTTCTACCAAACTACAGCCAGGACGAGACTGCCCCAGCAGTCACAAGACTCCGGCATGGCCTCACCATTCTCAATTGTCTCGATCGAATTCACAAGTCGGGACAGAAAACCCGATCAAAGCCTCGGACTATGCTTAGCCGCAGACCTGCGCCACAGAGTACAGAATGGAGGGCATCGATACTGTGGACACAATGAACAACCTCGGTTCGGAAAACCCGTTTTTGCGGCCCGGATGCTGAGGCCCTCAAGAGTTCATGCCATTGACATGTGGCTGCGCGTATAAGCACAGCGACTGGGTGAAAAACTTCGCCTGGAATTCTGAGCTCTAGACTCTAGATTCGAGATCTGACTAAAGCCATTGCTTTCAGCTCCCGCAATCAGTTCGAGTAGAGACATGAACAATTACCAACACTATCCTCGTAAACGAAGCCAACAAAAGAATGATTACACCCCAATATGCCAATCAACTGTAGACGCTGGTGAACAGCAGAGAGTGTTGGGATGCAGAGTTCTCGGACACATGCGGCGTTGAGTGTTGCAGGATTTCGGTACGGTACGAACTCGAATTTATCAAATTAAAGGGAAATGAGGCTGTGGAAATTTCCTGGTTTGAGGTCTAGTCCAACCTCTGAAGTCTGAACCGGGAGATCGAGAGATCATAATCAGGCACGGTCTCCATAGCATCCAGAAAAAGATGCGCCGCCCGCACACCCACGTGGAGCCGAGGCATCGCGGGGACGGTGTCTGGTTGCCATGTCCTCCACCCGGGATGGGCTCCACCAGACATCATCAAAGATGGCCCTCTCTAGGAGTGCCTTGCGTCACACCTTGTCGGTCCTCCATGTCTCCGCCTGAGAACGGTGACTTAGAGCTTCCGGGTTTCAGAAATTGTTCAGTCTCCACACGTTGGACGATGCAAAAATGGAAGCAGCAGGAGCACACGATATACGGCTTACAAATGGCGAAAGGCGCATTACGTCAGCTCACCCACCAAGGCTTAGGATGTTGGGGTTTCAGGGTGTTGGGCTTTAGGGACTGGCTTGGTCGGTTGGCAAGGGCCTCGGCATGGTAAACAAGGCCACCGTTCCGGCGGTCGTGGTGCAGCACCAGAGGCAGCAAACTACAAGCTCCATGACCTTCAAGGTATGCTGAAGCCGCCATTTGGGAGCTTCGGGTTGAATGTGACTTCCAACACTGTTTTGTCGGTGATTCTCTTGTCGCTCGAGTCACTCTAAAGCATCAGCTGCTTGGCCAGGCTTCTCGGGTTCAAGATTTATGAGGTCCAAGCCAAGGCTTTGAGGTAGGATCTTCGGGACGCTTCCAGGCCCCATCATACTCAGCTTGTGAAACCTTGCACCCCTCGTCCCATGGAGAAAGCCCTGCCTTTTTCAATTTGGTTACGGCTACCGACCAGACTGACGCCTCGAGTCGTCGGACGCAGAAATGGAGACACAATTCATCCTGTTGAATGCGAACGGTCCCAAAGGACAACCAACCCGTCGAAAGACCACATAAATCGTATAAAAGCAAAACAAAACCACCCTCTATTCCAACATCTCACGTGCCAGCTGGCCGGTGAATCGGACAGGTATCCTGCGGTAGTCTTGCCCACAGGCTGGCCACAGGTGTAGTAGCCTGCTGCACTGCTGGCACTTTGCGTTCGCTTCGTGGAGATTTGGGAGCTCCGATGATTTTGGGATTGATGAAGTTGAGATGCAAACCAGGGGGCATTGGTATGGCAGGAAAGCTCTTGCTTCTGATCGCAAAAGGCAAGAGCTCCAGAGTCCCATTATTTTGCACTGCCGTTCCTGTGTCAATTGTGCTGCATGCAGGCTTTTGCAAAGCAGCGCTTCCTTTGGAAGCTCCGACTTGCCTTCGGCTACAGCTTCCAGACCTGTACTTAGCCTGCTGCTGCTGCGAGCCCAACGTTCTTCCAACCCGTAGTTTTTGGTAGCTCCAGCCCACTGAGCACAAACGTCTGCTCTACTCCAAACATCGCGAGGGAGTTGCCCCAATTCTCAGGGATGCTTCTTGCCAAGAACCCCCTTACGAAAACCCAGTCCGACATTCGGCAGTTGGGTGCCTGCTCCCGCAAGGTAAGCAGGAAGCAACAGCCCAGCGAAGGCCAAAGCGACGATGCACACACGAAGTGTTTGGAGCTGAATGATGGAAACCAACGCCTTGGGATACAGCCGTGGATGTCGTCATAACGACAGCTTTCTCAGGTTTGCGGAAATCTTTAGATCGTCAAAAAGCGATCTAGAGACATGAGCCCCCATTATGCAGAATTTCCACTTTGGCCGGATGTTGTTGTTGTTGTTGCTGTTGCTGTTCTTGCTGTCGGGCCAATGCCTTTCCCTGTCATTCTCTTCTGGTCGCGGCGAGGGTTGAGGTAAGGGCGGAGATGGAGCAGAGTTGCGGTCTTCGGAATCTTTGCATGTTTTTTCCCTCCTACCTAGCAAGGACGAAGCCCGCATTGCAGGGAGTGGAATCTTTGCATGTGGCTGCAAGGGTTGCAGTTTCGTTGCCATTGTTGCTAGGACGTGAGAACTGTCTTGGGGCTGATGGGCTCTCAAGGACGGTCTCCTGCACAGGAAGGGATCGCGATACCAAATGACCAGCGCCACTCGGCAGCCCGGGACAAAGTCCTCAAGTAGCACTACATGACCTTGACCACGTATATAGCTAAATAAAAGACAAACACATGTAAGCCTGCAAAGTTACCCCCGGGCAGGACCGCATATCATTCAGGCCCTTGATCCTGAATTGCAATATTGATTCGAAATCGAGCTCCAATTCCGTTAGCGAGCTTAGGGTTAAGCAGCGCCCCAGGCACGTGATGCGGCGGATCGGTCTCCACAGTCTGGAGACGCCAGTGGAAGCTTTCGTGGAGTTGCGGACCTCATCCGCCGCGGTTTCGGGTGCAGAGTAAAAAGGTGGCCCTGATGCCCTGTAGCCTGTCAAAGCCGGTATCCCAGAACTAACATCCACCGGAATCTACCGATGAACTCTGAACACTGCTCGGATTCCGCTTTGACGGAGCCATTGCCGGGTGACTTGAAGGATGGCAGCACTTCAGTTGTGGCACCGACAGCGATGAGTTCTCCGGCGTGTTCTACTTGCGCTCCAAGCTTCAGAAACCCGGACTGCGTTTAAGGTAAACTCCAGACTCCAACGACTCCAAACCTAAGCAACTCTGACCTTGACAAGCACACACCAAACAGCAATAATTAAACAAGTCATTGGACATGTTCAAAGTCGGGACCCGAAAAGAACTCGGAAGCTGCGAGAAGTCTGGAGCTTGCAACCTTCTTCCTCTCCCTTTTTCTTTAAATCACGGTAGCCGAGTAGTAGCACTGAGAGGCTAGGGCGTAAGTAAGAAGCCCCACACCATCAGCGTAAACTCTAAGATTCGGGCCTCGGAGTACGGCCACAAGCAGAAGGCAAAGGAACGCGACAAAGAGCAACTGGTTGTTGGCCAGGACCCTTGACATGGAATCTTTAACATTCGGGCCCGTACCGCTTCGTTGATCGGGGCTTTAGATAAAACTGCAAGTGCAAGGTCTTGGAGTCTTGGAGCGAATCCTCTTATAGATACCCAGGGTCACAAGTAGAGAGATCGAACTGCCCAAAAAAACCTTTTGCTGCAGCACACAGTTTCCTGGAACTCCACTTGCTGCAATGTTTGCACCCATGACATGCCTTGTTGGGATAGAACTCGCCCTGCTCAAACCCTGCAGCCCTGCCTGGCCGAATAGTAGAGAAAGTGTTGTTGCTCTTCCGCAGAGATCCAGGTAGCATTCAGAGCTTGGCCATCCCCCAACCTCGGAAGAGACAATGGTTCTCATGATCATCATGCAAGACCGAGCGGCATGGAGAAGGTATGCGGAAGTTCACAGTCGTTAGAACCAGCAGCCTCCACAAACCGATACAAAGACAGCAGTGTCTTTAAAGCTTCTGGCCGGGAGCATGTTCCCCATCACTGCCGTTGCCATCACCAGGGACATGTTCAGACTCACGGGCACTCCACAAGAGAGCCGATTCCTAGGTGGGCCGGGGGCAGTGGCGGTTTTCAGGGTTTTCAGCGTAGGCTCCAAGCCAAAGCCGGGAGTCAACCTTCAGATCCGGAACTGCCGGTGACGTTTTCCGATAGTCCATTTCGACTCACACACACTCGCACAAGGCAGGCATGGCTTCAGATACTAAGTTGGCTGAGCTTGCTACTTAGTGTGCCAGCGTAGGCCCCAAGACAGTGAAAGAACAAATACCATGTAAACCCGAATCTGCCAGGACCACGAGGACCACGTGCAGCACGCACCGGCACCGGGTCGATCGGCAGGGTGGCGGCAGCGAGCATTTATTTGATGTGTTGTCGTCGTGCGTGCATAGTCCCGCAGACTTTTATGGGTCTATTCGGAAGTATTTTTAGCTCAAACTCCACTCTGAGCTTCCGGTGCAAAGTGAGGCTGGCCGGAGGAGGATGGATGTGGCGGCACCGGACGAAGGTAAAGGGACAGTTCCTCGGCTCTGACTTCAGGGCTCGCTGCTTCAGGGCCACTGGCGCAACTGGGGCTATGGTATGCTATGGTTCTGGGGTCGCCTTGCACTCGGACCTTCGCCTTAAGCGGCTGGTAAACTTCGGGTTCTGGGAATGAAGAATCCAGTGTATCAGCATAGGCACTCATGAGCAGCAAGAAGTTGCTCTGGCCGCAACCCCGAGAGCATTCTCGGCAGCAGCGGGCATGGTTTGCCTCGAAGCACGAGACGAGCGCCCCGCCGGCGAAAAGGGGCTCTTTTGTCGGGTCCGGCATGTTTCGGGTGTTGCATATTGGGTACCATAGGTCCTGGGTGCCCAGTCAGGTGCTGGAACGTCCGGGGATATCGGCACACAAATCGGAGGCGCTGCTCATACTCACAGGGTTCTCAACGGTCGCCTACCTCTATAGGAGGCCAGAGTATTCCAAGGAGTCTGCTAAGCACGGCCACCACACTCTAAACCTGAGAGCATAAGCCCCCGAAAGACTTGACTCCGACCCCTGAACATACGAAAATTCTAAGGCCCCGAGTCCAGTGAAACAGCCTGTCTGACGTAGCCTTAAAACGCTGATATCATTGAACATCCCTTGAAGCAGGTGCGGACAAGGCTCTGTAGATGTGGAATCGTGGGTTGTCGGCGCAGACGGACTTCAGATTCCTGCCAATTGCATATGGACACTTAGGTCATGCTCTCAGCGTTTCGGAAAGCCTACAAGGGCCAATGGGCTTTGCATGGCTGGTTTGCTGCAAGCCTGAAATCTTTTGGGCCTTCTGGGCCGAGACGCTCTCGCTTGTACGATCGCTGCTCTCTCTCTCTCTCTCTCTCTCTCTCTCTCCCTCTCTTTTTCTTTCGCCAGGCTTGAGGGGCGAACCCCCCGCTGGGGGCAGCCCGATGTTGGCTGGACGCACTGTATCTCTCTCTCTCTCTCTCTCTCTCTCTCTCTCTCTCTCTCTCTCTCTCTCTCTCTCTCTCTCTCTCTCTCTCTCTCTCTCTCTCTCTCTCTCTCCGGCTCCTTATACGTATGTATATATATATATATATGTGTATGTGTATACATATATATATACACACATACATTTTGAATATATGTATATATGTATATACACACACATCTAATACAGCACAAGCACACAAACACGTCCGTCTGTCTATCTATTAATCCATCTGCCTGTATATATATATATATATGAATATGTTTATCACTATATATATATATATATATATATGGACATACATAGATACATATATATATATATATATAGTATATGATGAAATATACTGGAACAAACAATGGTCTAATGTGACGTCGCGAGACTTACTGTGATGAGACGTACCCTGTGATGAGACGTACCTTAACATACGTAACCTGGGGTTTACCTGTGCTGATTACTGTGTCTTTGTGAGTGCTTGTGTTTGTGCGTACGTGTGTGTGTGTGTGAAGAATGCGTGCGTGTGATGGGTGACGTGTGGCGGTGTGTGTGGTGTGCGTGTGTGTTTGTGTGTGAGGGCATCTTCTGTGTGCAGGTCTTTCAGGTTGAAGCTCGGAAAAACATGAAATATATGTACAAACAAATAACCTATATACATATGTATATACACAAGACATACATGCACACACACACACACACATCTGTACATATATATATATATATATAAGCATACATATGTATATATATATATATATATATATACATATATATATATATATAGATATAGAGAGAGGTACATGCTGTTGAGCGCAGTGATTCAATCGTGCAGTCTATGCTATATGGTGTTGTATGATATCATCAGACATGTACCTTATGCCGGTTATTGTGTCAATATGTTGTGGCAAATTGTTGTGTCATTATCATAAAGAAAAAATAAATATATATATATATAATATCTACATAATAAACAGTGTGATTGTTGAGTGGACTACATGTCATGGCCACATCACATCACATGGCATCATCTCAAGAAATATTTCATCACTGCATACCGCATCATACCACACCATGACACGACATAACATATCATAACATGACATCTTACACCACACAGTATTACATCACGTTGCAGCATACTTTGTCGCTTTCACTCACTGTGCTACATTTTCGCCTCCTACTTCGCCAGATATCTGCAACACGTTGTGGTAGATTGGCTTATCGAAACAAAAACTGTATTGTCTTGGGTTATGTGCGGTTAGACTAGCATACGGAAAAAGAAACATTATCCTATGCTTCGACTCCATATGATGCTGTATGAAATGGTGTCAGATAACTGGAATGAATTCGATAGCGGATGAATGAATCTCCCACCATGTGTTTAGTTTGTACTTATTACACTGTGATACATACTGGCATCATGCTTTATCCTATATTGAGTGCATATATAAATATACACATACATACATACATACATACATACATATATATATATATATACATATGCATACACACACACGTGCGCACAAATACATCGTAGGTTGGGCTATGCATACATACGCACAAATGCTTGTACATGTGTGAGTGTGTATGTCTGAAGTGTATGTATGTAACTAAGTATACATGTATGTATGTGCCTGTATGTGCATATGTGTGTATGTTCGCATGTGTGCATGTGTATATATATATATAGATAGATATAGGTTATACGCGTATATCTTGCAAGCCTTAAATCTGGCAACACCGAGGTGCAAAGGCTGCACGACGCCGGAAATCCAGTTGCCATGCAGCGTCAGCACCGCCAGGTTTTGCATCCGGGTAAGGCTTGCCTTGTAGGTGTTTTCACATTCACTGCTTATATGGGGCACGGGCTGTAGGTTCATTGCTTGTCGCTTGCGTTCGGCTTTTCCGCCTCGGGCTTAGGAGTTTAGCGCTTTATAGGACTCAAGGGTCAACTGAGGATTTACAGGGCCTGGAGAGCTTGGAGGCCTGGCGGATGTGTCTAGGGTGCGGCTACCAAGTGAGAAAGCTCTGCGGTTTGCAGTCATACTAAGCAACAGTCTCGGAAGTTGAGTCTTGTGCGACATCTGGTACATATAATATAACTCAGCACGACTCACCATGTGCACAGAACTACTCAGCAGCTTAGACTAGAGGGCCGCCATGTCCCTGCCTGATGCTCAGTCAAACAACTCAACCAACCCTCCACATCTCCCACTTCCCGACCACTTGTCTGGTTTGTTGTTGAGGAACATGATTGCGTAAGTGTGGCAACTTAGATAGTGAAGTCTTGAGCAAGGTCCCAGCTCTGAGCAGGCGACCGGCATGACTCCCGAGAGCTGGTTCTGATGCCTGAGATCTGGAGCTGGACTCACAAACGTGCGGGCCTAACTGGGCCTTGCGGGTGCAGTAGAGTATCATCGCCCCAAGAGACAGAGACGGGCTAGCAACCCAAACCCTGCCTTTGCAGCGCTATCAAACATAGAAGCATTGTAGAAAGCTTTCATATCATGGCATCACGAGAAGTTTTCATCAAGAGAAACTGGGGTTGAATAGATCGCTTCTCCGCAGACTTCAGGGCGCTGCTCGCAGCAAATGCTTCCTCGACACTGAGCTGGAAGCCGTTGCCAGTCTAGAATTCACTTCAAGGCTTACCACTAAGGGGCCAGGAGGAGGACCTTAACTCAGGGATGTTGGGGCTGCCTGACCTCCTGACATCATCACCTTCGACTCGATTCCCAAGAGCCTAGGCCAAAGCCACAAGCAATGGCTTTACGAGCTGAGCAAAAAGCTAGCGAAAGTGACCCCATCAAATGAGGAGATGCAGTGTGAGCGCCATAAGTGCGGACGCGCCAGTGAAGTCTGGGATGGGACCAACCTCCGCTTCGGGCTTCTGCCGAGAGCAGGGGATTCGGCTTAGGATTTCGTGGAGTTGCAGTTGTAGAGTATATGCACAATCGATCATCGGCATGAACACTTCTTCATACCAGAACGACTGCCGCGGTGGTGAGCTTGTTGCTGATTTGTTGTTTCTTGTTACTGTTTGTTCTCGTGATTAGATCTTCATTGCGATGTTTGCTTGGCTGTTGCGTGCGTTGTCCGTTGTAGCTTTATGCTCCTTTGTCACTGCTGCCGTCATTTGCTATAGTCCGGGTTGGGTTATATAGAGTTCAGAACCTGGCTCTAGTTTAAAACAAGTCAGGTCTGAATTCCAAGATAGCTGGAGTTTGGAAGTCTTTGAAGTCCCAGAGCGAAGATGCGAGATTTCAGGAATCAGGATGCAACTTTTGCAGTCATGCAAATGCCTACAGTATACTTTCGAGGTTGAGGATCCGCACGAGTGCAGGAAATTACGACCGCTAAGTGCATGCTACGTGCAAGAGTCGAGTATCTCCAGCCTGCAAAAGCGAAACCGGCAAAGGTGATAGTGGGCTAGCGCCTGCAGCCCTAAACAAACATACCTTTGTTGTGAAATCTTCGAAATCTTCGGCTGCAGCAAATCAAAGCCACACTTCAAACGCTGTAGACGTACGAGTACATGTTGAGACGCTGCAGCATGAGAGTACCCCGAAAGAATAAGTTGGGGTGTCCGAATGGCTTCGAACACTTGCGGCGTTGAGCGGTTGAAGTCCCGATGCGTCGCCAACTTACAACTGAAGGCTCGAAGCTCAACTGAAACAAAATCCGCTCCGTGTCTGCATGGCAAGGAACAAGTTGATTCCTCAGCTGCACTTGTATACGACAATCGCTGGAAGCAGTACCTTCTCGGTCTCTGCAGCACTGGCCCAGAAGCTCGAATTCCAGCCTGCAAACCCTACGGCCTAAGGACCCCTTCAAAGCAGCCCCAGAGTCTCCGAGAGCATGAGGTGAGTGAGGCGCTGGAGTTGAGTGAGCACTGCCGGGATGCTTCCCGTAAGCCTCAGCTCGGCTTGAGCCGCTTTGGCTTCAGGGTTTCCTGAAGGGGAAGACTGACGCAAGCACGCTTGAGTTTTAAAGTCTATGTAAACTGGATGCCAGGTTGGCGTATTTGGTGTCTAGAGTCTAGAGGTGCTTGCCTTGGCATTGGCCCTAAGCAGCCTTGTCGCCTCTCTGCCTCTCTCCCTCTCTCCTTCTCTCGGCACAGACGCAGCTTCATGGATGTAACCGAAGTTTCATGGACGGTAAGCAGAGCGCCTGCGCTTCGGGAAAGCCTTGCTCCCAAAGACCTTCTGTCCTGAGGTTCTACAGAAAGAACTTACGCTACTTGCTCTCTCCGTCTCCGGACCATGGAACAGCTCATGCAACCCTTCAAGCAAGACTGTACCTTAAGATACTTCCACCACAGCGAAACGTGACCGCTCGGAACTCTGAACCCCTATGTAAAGTACCTAAAGCAAAACTGCCATAAATCGTGAACGTGGGCTTGTGCATGTTACACGAGTCAGCAGCTCATCGGAGTCACTTTGATCACAGCTTACATTTGTAATTTGTACCTGTTTCCCGGGACATAAGGTGAGCTCTGGCAAAATCAGGACTTCAATACATGTCTCGAGTCGAGAGACGATCGTAAGCATCCCGCATGGCTCTGACACTAAACGCCACTTCGTGGAACCGACGAAGACTACAGAAAATTTGGCTTCCTTCTCAAAAGTTGTATGATCTGGGCTTCACAAGCCACCTGTTCTCCGAGAGGTCCAAGTACTGAAGGGATTCCAATTGTCCCAGAGCCCTGAGCAGGCATTTAAAGCACCAGCAGTTCCAAACTGACTGGACGGCAAAAAGACAATCCGCCGACCTCATGTTTAGCTCCCAGTCAGGCAAGGAGGTCACACCCAGCCCAATCCAACTCCTAGTTCCACTCACCCAGCATAAGCTCCCTCAGGATGTGACACTCAACGCTGTTCGCAGATGATGGCGTAACCTGTACCAGATCTCGCAGTCGTTCACAAGCACGACAAGGTGCTGAATGCATGCTCATATCTACATTACCACTCTTGCTGCAGGTCTGCGTGTCTCCACTAAAAAACACGTCCATGCAACCACAACATTGAATTACATCCACCACTGTTCGCCAGCGAACCCCCAGAGCTCGAACCTGCAAACAATCGACCCAATCGGGCAACCTTGATGTCCTCGAGCGCAGCTCAGAGTGATTCAAACCCAGCCTCAAACCCTTTAAAGCTTTGAACCCTTAATCTCGTACTGTGGCACAGCTGTATTGTGTTAACAGGTCAACTGTTGAACCCCCCGTTTCCATTCCGGATTCCCAGTCTGTTTTCAGAAGCAGGGGCCACTCTGGCTTTCCGGATAAGCAAGACGTGAATATGATGGACACAGATGGAGCTTTGCATTGCTCAGCCCAGCCCGACAGTTGGTCCAAGCATCTCTGGCAATGGTCCACTCAAGCGGTTCCGGAAAATGTTGAGGCATTCGAGCTTAGTCATGTTGCCGAGCTCGGCCTTAGAGTCCAGGGCGTTTCAAGTGGCAAGCGAGGGACTTCGGTGCTTGGCGGTCAAGGCTTCATGCAGGCCAGCACAACAACGGCACTATCCAATTCCAGGACCTATTGTCGAGGCAGCACAATTCTCACAGTAAAGGGAAAACCATGCAATATTTGAATGGACATCCCGATTTTCCGCATACGCGACTTTAAACACGATAGAATTCCAGGAAAGTTCTACCTGGCGAGGACCCTCAGAGTCCGGAAGGCTCCTGTATCAGAGAGGACGAGAGACCGGGATTGTACCAGAGAGACTGTTCTCCGACAGGTCGATGTCCTGGAGCAACTATGGGTGGCACCACACCAAGCCGGGTACAGGTAGCAGCTCAGGACGTTTGAATCATGGTTTCTGTGCAGATCGGTTTCTGTTCTAGTTCTGGCTAGTTCCCGACAAGGCGAGACCTGTCATAAGCCAAACAACGATGAAAGCAGATGTATGAATCTGGCTTCGATCGAAGAGGCTATCTACGCCACCTACAGATTTTGTCATGGATGCGACCCTGGACGGAGACCTCGGCAACAGCAAATTCGCGCCAACTTCCATGCCCTAACCTGAGAAAAGTCGGCCGCTCTATGATATCCAGAGCAAAGCCAAGCCTTCATTCTGTAAACTCGTGTTGCAGGGGGCATGCCCGCAGTGGTGTTCGGCTCAATGGAGTCAACGGTGTGATTTTGTTTCTACAATTTTCTACATGCGGATAGCAGTGCAATAGCACGCTGTCCTATTCCCCCTGTTGGCTTCGAGAGCTGCCGATCGTTATCCGGTAGCGTCACCACAGAGAAAGACGTCGATGGAAAGCAGTCCCAGTTCGTTCAATTTTCAAATCGTCTCTGCAACACCGTACAGGCCTCGAGGTCCATCTCTATACGATCCTATGAACACCACGCATGCCCGGAAACCTCCAATCCCGAAAGGCCCACACCCAGGAACTATGAGAAAGCTTGTAGCAGGCCTGAAGGGAGATCAGTGAGAACAGCTGTCGCGGAATGATGCCAGATAGTCTATTGTGATGCAGCTGGAGCCTTCCGATCAAGGATTCAGGCTTTCTGCTGATCGATGTGCTGAAAATGACGGTGGAAATGGGCGCGCTTGCTGTCATTTGTGTTTCGTGCCTCTCTTGATGGTGTTATTGCCACTGCTGGCTTAACTGTTAACAGTGTCTGCAATTGGTTGGTATTAGCGGCATCGCACGCATGGGAAGACGCCTTCTGGCCTTCGGTGGAAATTGCTAGTTAATCTCCTTTGAAACCAGTTGTGCTTACCTTCCGCCGGACGGCATGAAGCCCTGAATTCCAGTGAAGTCGTATGGTTCGTAGTCGACAGACTTTGCGGTTTGGACACAGAGCGCCGAAGTCCTTCTGTCTTTGGGTTACCCTCCTGCTGCCCCGCAAGGTCTTGCAGCTCCGATGTATCCTACAAATCGCTTCAATGCACAATGCCCACTATATCTCGCCTCTTCAGTTTTGTCAAGTTGCTGAGCTCCTGCGGTATGGCTCCTGCCAAGAAATCTGGAGGCATAAAGCCATACAGTACAGAGGTAGCAAAGGCGTCCGGGCTATCGGCTTTCCAAATCAGTATCAAATATCAGTGCTGCCAGATGATGAGGCAGCAGTGTCTCTCCTAATTCTCACTACTCACTACTGAACATCACTCAATCCTGAAACTCTGAGCCTGGACAGAACCGTCAGAGCCTCCAGCATGCTAAAACAAGTGGCCATAGCTCAAACTTACGGAAAACCGTAACCCAGTCTCCAGAAATTCAATACGGAAACAAAAATGTCACGGGACCTGGGATGTTTAGGCTCGGGCCAACATACTCTGCATGGATGCCTCGTGATCCTGGGCTACGACATGGTGCAGATTTATGCCATCATAAGAACGTTCCTCCAACAGTCAGACACATGGGCTCTTAGGCGAGACCGAAATATCAAAATCATGGGACGCAATCCCTGCAAGTAGGGCACAAGCTCCAGAAAGCAAGTGCAAGCATCTCGGAACCTCTTAGACGATTTTGATGCAGCGCCAACCCAAACCTCGGAGAGCGCGGAGGCCCAAGACTTCTTGCACCATGCTGGGATTCGATCTGGTTTAGAGACAGGGCTTACAGTTCCGGCTTTAGGGTCTTTGTTGGGCTTTCGGCCCTCATCGGCCAAAGAGAAGCGTAGAGGCTCTGCATCTTTGGCAGCTGCGGGAACTTAAAAAGTCATCTCCAACATAGACCCAGCATGGCAGGACGGTGTTGTAACAAAAAATCCCAGACGACCGAGCAGCAGCTTCCCGAGCTGGCCGAGCTCCTTGGGGATGTTGCCATGCAGACCGTTCTTGTAGAGGCCCAGGTAGCCTTTGAAGGGATTCACGTGTGCAGGGCTCCAGGGTCCCTTCCCGCAGGGCGTAAGATCGTGGCCTCAGTGTCTACACCTTACATTAAAGCCCGAGAAACCTTCTGAGTTTCCACGAGACTGAGCCGAAGCTTTGGCAGAGTTACTTTGGATTTCAACTTTGCAAATGCTGCAGCACATGCATCGGCGAAGGCTTCGCGGAAGCTCGTAGGTAAGGTCTAAGGTGGCAAAACAGTATAGAACGTAGCCCGATTCTGAAAAGTTTTCAGCTTTGTCTAAAGTAGTTCTAGGCTAAGACCGTCGCACCATGTCGCACAATACGATTGGCAAGGATACTGTTTTTTGTAACCTGCACCTCCTCCCATCATGGCAACAAGGCAAGTCGAAATACAAGTACTGTCCCAAACCCCGAACAGCCCGACAAGCGCATCTAATTATTCGGGACGTGCCGGCGCGACAGTTGCATACCTCGAAGCTGGCGCTAATTGCAGGCCCCGGTGTCCATGTTTGTTCGATTTTGGTCGAGACTCACAGAACTTTTCTTCAAGACGGTTGCAGGATGTTGCAGGCAAACCCTGGCCTGCTTATTGTTTCGTTACTCCGCATTACATGCCTTCCAACAGGCCTGACCTTTCAATGTGTTCTACGGAGCGTTCTGCCACAGGGCTCAGTTGCGGACTCCCAAGTCTTAGTGAAACCCAAACTCGTGCCACCTACTCCCGTGCTTCCTGGAGCAACACCCCCTGCAATGCTGCGTTTGCGGTCTAGTGACGCAACTCTGGAAGTCCTCCCAGTTCCGCCGGGATGTTCCCCCAAAAATAGTTCCTTGTCACATGACGAGCAGGGATTGATTTCTTCTAAGCTGCTCGTTACGTCCTAGTCCTAGTGAGACTTTCATTCGGGCCAGATCTGGCTGGAGAGGACCGAGGCACTGGTGCAAATGCAGCGAATGGAGCTTCCGGAGCTTCCCAATCTCCGGAGGAATCCTCAGGCTTGTTGGAAGGATGGTGCTCGCACGTCGCTGCGGCCCTCATGCCAGGGATCACAAACCATCTTTCTCCCTCGAAGGCAACGATAACGATGCCCGTGGAAAATTCATCTCCCTCTGCATGGTGTGACAGTGAGAACCCGAGTTTCATTGTCACTAACGGCCATCTCCTGATCTTGCAAAGCTCTGACCCAGCCAGTCGGAAAGGAATAGGAACCTCCTACGACGGATGCTCCCTCAGAAAGTCTTGCAGTTCAAGCTCGTCAAGGATGTGATAAGAACATGCAAACACCAAGCCGACCAACGACCTCAGGGACATGTTTCGATCTCCGATCCGAAGCCCCGAACCAATTTTGAAGCTGGACTTTGGGACAAAGGCAAAACTCACCCCAAATCCTGTAGAGTGCCATGACAGCTCTGTTGGTCGCGGCGGTGAACCCTCAACGCTGAAACCGAGGAGCTTCCCGTAGAAGGAGTTCTGGTCCAGAAAAAGCCTCCCCCATTGCTGTGTGTTCTTTGAAATAGTTGTGCTACATTAGAGTGGGTCTGCCTTTATTGCGGGCCCTAGGGTTTCTATGCAAAAACATCTAGGCAAATGGACGGGTTCAGAGCTGTAGGTCGGGGTGTCCTGTGGAGGTTGCGAGGCATCTGATCTGAGCCTAAAGATCAGAAGCCTACGGTGAATGCTGCGATTGATGCAAGATGAGACCGAGTCCTTGCAGGAATCTCGAAATAGCACAAATTTTCTAGTGCCTACTTCCTGGCATGGTTGCGCGAAAGTTCCCGCAAACCAAAGAACCGAAACCTGTCTGTTTGTGGTTCCAACCCATACGTAAAACACATCCAGCTGCAGCTTCTTTTCGAGACATCTCGAAACCCAAGGACGAGCGAGCATGACTGGTATGACCAGAACTTTTCTTGTCCATGGTTTGTCTATCGCTCCATCCCCCAAGCCACCCTCCTGTGCCCTAGAAGGCCCTGAAGACGGCACGGCACACAGCCTCGTGAGCTCCTTCAGACGTAGTCGGGCACGAGTTGGGGTTTAGCGCAAAGTCTGGCGTCTAGCTTGGCTTTTGTTGGATTCGATGCTTTTTACCTGCTAACTGGGGGAGGGTTTGGAATCGAGGGGTTCGGGCTTGAACAGAGCTTCAGCAGGGCTTGCGGTTGGGTCACCCCCTGTGAGGTTGATCCTTGCATGGGGCCGAAGCTCATCTTCTCCCCTTTTGCATCTCATCTCATGATTTCCGTGGAGAGTGTCGAGGCTTTGAGAATGTGGCTTACGGTGGTTTTATAGGTCTGGGGCGGGTGGCCGATGTGGCCTGCGCCGAGCCAGCAGCTCTCGCACAGCATCTAATTAGAGAGGGCGGTGTCGAGCAGCGCAACGACGACGAACCGCTTCTGTATTACCCCTTGTCGTGCGAGCTCAGCGCCACCACCTCAACAACAAAATAGAAACAACAATGACACCAGCACCACCACGAGCTCCAGCTCCAGCTCCGGCTCCGGGAAGAGCAGCAGCCGCAGCAGGAGGTACGCGGAATGCGCTCTGTATTTCCGCAAACAACTATAGGGCCCGTTCGGATGTGACGGTGACCACCGGCTCGGTGCTTGGTTTCCCTGCGCCTTTTTGGAACTTGCCGCGCCTGGCCACTTCCAGCAAGTGGGTACATGGCGAAAATGCTGTTCGAAGGAGGCGTGAATGCTGGAAAACAAGCAGATGGCAGAAGGGTGCGACATATATACATTTGCCCGGGGTCCGGGCGCATTCAAGCCAGGCCTTTGGTGATCGCGACAAAAGCGCTGCAAACGACAGCTTTCGAGATGTGGCCACTCATACTGCGCAGCTCTACTGCTTTGCTACAGTGGTGGAACTGAACGGGCGCGCTTCGGAAAAAGCACCGAAAATTCAGGACACCACTGTCGAAATACGAGGAAGCAAATTCGTAAAACTTGCGCAGAGCTATGCTACATCTGGTTCATGGGTGATGTCGGAAAAACTAAGAACCCCAAATAACAAACACAAACATAATGGCTGGCAGCCCCCAAAGTCTACAGAAAGAAGATGCAGAAGATGGTATAGGTCGGCAGCCCCAAATCCTAAAGAAGCAACGAAGAAAACAGGCGGCAAACTCTGTCGCAAACCCCAAACCCAAAAGAAGAATGTGTTGGCTGGCAACCCCCAAAGGATGGAACAACAGAAGGTGTAACAGTTGGCAGACCCCAAAACCTGAAAGGACAAGTCGGTTGGCAAAACCCCGAACTCCAAAAGAAGATCTTGGCTGGCAACTCCGAAGCCCTACAAGAAGGTCAACTCCAATCCAACGGGAAGATCGTGGGTGGCAAACCCAAGCCCAAATGCAAAGCAGACCACATCCAAAAAGAGGAAGGTATTGGTCGACGAACCCCGGAACCCAACGCAGCTGAACCCTCAACATGATTGAGCACCTTCGAGAACTCTGAACCTACAGCGACCTCACACAAAGCACCAATCCAGCAATGTCCTTCAGCTCACCCATCTCCGGTGGCAATCTTCCAGATAGGAAGTTCCTGGCGATGATGGGTCAGAACTTGCATCGAGACCCCGGAGTTCAGCACGAAGACATTCATGAGAGGCAGAAGTATCAGAAGTATCTGAGCTGTTGTCCTTGCGAATAGGGTAGTCATGGCTGTGCTGTGCAAACGGTAACCCCAGTAAGAGACTCGTATAGTTGCCTATTCCGTACGAACCTCCAAGTCCTTACAAGCCTTGCGCAAAGTAAGATACCTGTTGGGATTATGGTTATTCAAATTGTGCAAGGCCGCATGAGTTGGCAAACGTCTCGAGACTTACGATCCCTGAATTGAACCCCGTGCCCCAACCAGGCCAGATCCTACGAACCTGAGGCCCAGGCCAACTGAAAATCAATGGCAGAGGACTCCTTCTACATTCCGCTCTGTTGGGCGTTAGACTTGGTCATGAGAGAACGCCCACACACTGACTCAACCTTAAACCCAAAAGCTCGGCAAGAGTCTGCCGCAGGACCAGCACTTTGAGCTTTCGGAGGTTTCCGATTTCTTTTGGCAGCGCTCCTCCGAACATGCGGAGGGACGTTTGCTCCCGTCTTGATGTTTTTGTTGGTTCCAAGGCTTGTCATCGAAGCAAGGCATACGGCTTCGGAAGCGTTTTTCCGGCGGACAGCACGGGCGCCACGAGTGCACGAATGTAGAAGTACGGCGGAAGCACACCACCCAATCACATTCAAAGGGTCGAAACCTTTCAATCCGCATGCAGCAACACAAGCGTAGCTCTAGCCGGCGACAAGAACAATTAAGCAACAGAAACACCATCAGCGATATTAGCAACAGCAACAGCAGGAACAGCAGCAGCAACACCACCACCACCACCACCACCACCACCACCACCACCACCACCACCACCACCACCACCAGCAGCAGCAGCAGCAGCAGCAGCAGCAGCAGCAGCACAATTGCAAGTGCAACCGCAAGACAAGAGAAACACCAACACCAACACCACCGCCGCCGCCACCGCCACCACCACCACCACCACCACCACCACCACCACCACCACCACCAACAGCAACAACAACAACAACAACAACAAGACCACCGCGACCACCGCGACCACCACCAACATCACCACCAGCACCAGCACCGGCACCGGCGCCGGCACCAGCACCACCACCACCAACAAGAACATCACCACCGCCGCCGCCACTACCACCACCAACAACAACAACAGCAGCAACAACAGCAAGGGCAACAGCAAGCAACAGCAACAGAAGCAACATCAACACCAGCAGCGCTACTATCACTGGCAACGCTAGCCACAATAATAACCCAAACACTCGGAAAACTCCGACGAACTACTCACAATGACGCAAACTGCGATAACTAGAAGAAGACTGTACTAATCAGCGCATTTACAAGAGCAACAGGTAGCCACATAAGATGAAGAAGAAGCACAAGCACCATCACCGTGACCAGCTCCAGCACTGGCCAAAGCGTCCCCATCAGCAGCAGCATCAACAACAGAGTCACCATGACCACAGTCGTCACAACCACATGGGCGTCATAATCGTCTGCATCAGCTCGTCACCATCGATTGTCTCTGCAAAACTTCTGTATCTACTCCTGCTGCTTCTCCGTCCAAGCCATACAACAATAAACACGGCAAGTGGTGCCAGTGGTAGCAGCCGCGGCGGCAGTGGCATCGCACTCGGGCTACTGTCATCTACCTCCACGTGAAACACCCAGATGTTTGCAATCACCTCTGCCCCTGCATGCCCCTCCCCTGGAACACGTGGCTGAATAATTAGTCTCAAAATCTCTCAAACCTCTACGGCCTTCGATCCAAAGAACAATCCGAACCAAGGCGGTTTGTAGAGTTGATGCCAGATTATCCCCTTGCTTGAATGGAAACCATAACCCACAAACCTTGCAGCACAAATCTCGAACCTCAAAATCGACATGCTGAACCCGAGCCCGTGAGACCCGGTCTCTAAGCCTTAAGCGCATCCTTAATCCACAGCTGCCTTCAAAGGCATTCGCGTCCAGGAAAAGTCCAGTGAGATCGCCAAGCTCCCAGAGCCCCTGCCTGAGCTGTACAACTCTGAGAGGTTCTCAAGCCTGAACACCCAAAACTTACCCAAACCCAAACTCCTAAACCGAACTTCTGAACTATAGGGGCGCTGCAACAGCGACGATTAAACATCGCGGTCAGATTCCACGTAAAAAGGGGTCTCGAACCATCTGCGATCCTAAGCTACGAGTAGCTCTGGGAATAGCTTCCATGTCGGGCCGAGGTCGTTCTTGGCTCCAGTTTCAGCCGGAGGGAGTCTAAGCCATGGAAGTGGCTTGATGCCATCTCAGATGGGGCCTTCTTGCGGACCTGGTTGTGACAATCTCACATACTTGAAAAGCCATCGTCGGATGACGTCCCAACAGTACCCCAGAAAAAATCAAGGAAGCCCACTGTCTGAATCGTGAACTACCCCAAACCCTAAGCTCGTCAGCACATCCTCGACCACCCAGCTTGAGGTTTGAGTTCTCAGCAATCCTCCTTGACAACCCTTTGTCAGTCATATTACGAATACTTTAACCGTCGTCCAACCCGCAAGGTCGTCGACCGAGGGGCGGCAGACTTCCGCCCAAGCCGGTCCCGGAAAGCTGCAAGAGCATGAGATTCTGAAGCTTTCCGATGTCCTGTGCGTGGGGGTTTTGCTGCCTTTTTTTGTTGCGCAGGGAGGGGCGGCGGGGTTAGTCAGTGGGGCGTTGCGCTGACGGTGTAGATGTATTTAGGGCTCTCAGGTTTGGGATTGACAATTCTGCTGAAGTTGCCTCGGTCAGAAACAGCAGGACACAGGCGGAACAAGCACAAGGCAACAAACCATTAATTAAGCAATAGGGATGCGTCCAAATGATTCCATACGCGCAAGTTACCTTGCAAGCAAGTTATGCGAGAAGTTGCAGTTCATCTCCATCTCTTGGCCATGAAGAGAGGATCGTTTCCATTGTGCATGGGGAGCGGCAGATACTGTAACATCTACATGTGGTGACCAAGCATGAAGAAGCAAACAACATATTCAAAACATGGCAACCTATTCCGTACCATTCCGCTACACAGCGTCTTTACAGGTGAGCACCCCTGAAGGCAAACCAAACCACGGGCCTGTTCCTTCGATCCCCTTTCCCGATGTAAGGACGCTAGAGTATGCTAACACTGCACTGCCAGCAATTTTGCACACAACGTACCGCTGGACTTCAACAGCAGCAAGCACACTGAAGAAGCAGCAGTTGGAACAGCGACAGCGAAAGAAACAAACACACACGTAACATATCGCTCGTGATAGGACCGATCGTATCAGAAGTTTATGTTCCAGCTCGGCTGCTGTCATCTTCGGGTTAAGAACTTCAGGATTGCATCCATGATTCGGGAGCCATTTAGCATCATCGTTCTTCCCCGTCGCCGTAACAGCTGCATCATGATACTATGCTGCACTGCCTAACTCAGTCGCAGAGGGCAGAGTCCTTCGGCAAGCCACCAGAGAGCTTGTTCTTAGCTAGGTCCAGGTTGACCTCGCAATCTTTCACCGGCCACCTTACCTTAACTTCTCGTCCCTTCCCCCTTTGCTCCAGAGATACCAAAGCAGCTCGAAAGCAGTTCCAGGAGGAACTATGTCAGAATCCGGAATGTAAGCCCCAATAAAGGGCTAGGACTCCTCACGCGACAACCTGCGCCCTACATTTCCGAAGCTGCAGGGCTTCACTAAGGCCGGGTTTTTCCGTCTGCGGCCGAAGCTCCAACTTGCGCAGCTCCAGGAGTTCAACTGGGATGGGGCCCTCCAGCTCATTCTCACCTGAGAGCGTACTGCGGCTTCTCTGCTAAAACTGAACAAACCCATATGCAGCCGCTTGGCAACCTGTAGCTTCGGGACAAACGGGCTAAAAGAACGACGAGATGAGGCAACACGGACTTGACAAAACACCCTGAGGGAAGACGCCCGAACCCTAAACTCAAGTGCTGTATTACAGACAAAGCCTGATCTGTTATCCATATCACCCCCCATCTCTTGTGGAAATCGAGTTTCGCAGGGACAAAGTCCGCAAGCGGCGCAACCAGCCAAGCTCAGGTGGTATCGGACCAGTGAGATGGTTGCTATACCTGTGCACTTTGGAGACCACTTCGGCTTAAAGTTTATATTCTTAAAGTCTCCAGGAAGCTACGGGAGCAAACAGGCAGAGCCTGTTTTTGCACAGGGACTCCATGCGGGTAAGCCTGCCCGGCTGCAACGGCTCCCTGGTTTCGAATCAGTCTTCCAAGCATCGCACAGAGTAGGGTGCTACGAGTACAAACAAGCTGGTCGGGATTCATGCTGTGATGGTTGCACCAGCAGCACCTTTGTCAACACAAATCGCCATCCTAAGCATCAACTGGGGCACAGGATCAAGGCGGTCAGAGCGCGCAGCTGCCCAAGTTCCTGAGAAGGATTGCCTGTTGAGGTATAGGAGTTTAGGCATGCTGCAGTGCTTGCAGTACGCATCACAAGTATCAGCCATATGGCTTCGCGGCTTAGTATTTACGAGTACGCAGCTTCAAGGGCTTAGAGTCTCGAAAGAGTTGAGGGATGCTGGGGGTTTACGATGTTGTCGGGTTCCGTCGACTAAACCCGCACAAGCTCAATGGCCTGTAATTAGGGCGTTGGGTTTCGGAGTAGGTTTGAAGGGCAACCTGTTGCATCGAGGAGTTACTTTCGTCAAGGTCGTCATTGTCTTGCGAGTCTGCGCCGTAGACCTTCAGGTCTACACTAGCGTCACGGCTGCCCACCATTTTACAGGTTCTCCTTCAAGGCCATCTTCTCCGGACCCCTTTTTTGCCATGTAGTCCATGACCGAACGTGGTCCCGAACAAAAGGCTGGAACCGCACAATAAGCTGGATCTGAAACGACACACTATCATGAACCGCGCGAGCCCGGCAGATATATATATATATATATATATATAGCTGGGTCTACTTCGCTGGAAAGAGTCGGGAGGGATCTCACCCGTCAGCCGGTTGGAATCCAGCCGCAGATGGACAAGAGAGCGCAGCCGCCTGCACACTCTGGGATTGTTGAGTAAGGTTATAAGGTTCGGGGTCTCTAGGGGATCAGGGATAAAATTGCTCACCGTGCCTTGGGAATCGCTGTTGCGCCTTGTCGCTAGCTAGAATTCTGTGGAAAAGGGCATATCCAATCCGGTGTCCTTTGCGATGGACAACAAATCCGACGTGCAGAAGCCCCGAATGTGCTTTTCAAGGGGTGCGCCTGTGGGCACTTAAGGGAAAGTCAAAGTCTCCCCAAAATGGTGCCAAGCAATGACAATTTTAGCGAGGCATGAGAAGCGCTCAAAACAGTGGTCTGTGGAGTAGCAGCAACATGCCTTCTAGCATCTGGCAAGGCAAGAGATATCGTCAAACATATAGACATACTCAAAAGAATCCCAGGAGGAATAGCTGAATAGCAGCCCCTGCTGCCCAGATGCGCAAGCTCCCGTGGAATCGGCCCAGCGAACCTGCAGACACGGCTTCGTAGTAAACGCGCTACGTCCGGATCCTGACAGGACCTGCAGTTACACTCGAGCTTCGGCACTTTGGGCCTGCGGGGCTCAAGTTCAAGCAGGGTGTCTGGTGTTCTCGCGCCCGGTCTCAAAGGCCTCGAGTTTGTCACACCCTTGCTTTGCGGTGTATTGTATGGGCCTGGGCCTCAAGAATTGGAAATACCATTCCTGGGGACCAACAAGTAGTTACTTGCTAGATGCCCCCGAAGCCCTCGTCTTCTTATCTCTACATACAGGTTTAGGGTCAACCACTCCTATATAGTATCTTAGGGGGTTATACACGAAAGGTTTTCGATACAAGCCTGAAGCGCTGAGCCTCCTGGCCTGTTCTGGCTCAAGCGCAAGGAACGGAGATTCGTCAGGTTCCCCAGCGGCACCAGACTTCCGGACAACTGGTTTCGCCCCCTGAGGAAGCCGGGCGAAGACGTCAAAAACCTTACAACTATAGCTGAGCTTCCAAAAGCCGCTATGTAGCGCTGCAAACTCGTCCTTCGCTCAAGACCTCTCGAAATACGCTCAAGTTCAGAAGTCGCGTCATGGTTGCGTCAGAGCCCTGGGCTCTGATCGTGGGTGTTTTCAACAGAGGTCGTTGTTTGATCCCATCTGGTCAGCTACCAGCCTGACATGAGCAAGACGACTTGCTGGTTTTGTGGGATTTGAATCGTTTGATTTAGATCCTTGTGGTGTAGGGTTTGTATCCTTGCTAAGCCTGCGGTGTCGGGTTGGGGTGTAGTGTATGAGTTCGTGGCTCAGCATTTGCAGCTTCGGGTCTTCCCGACGACGATTCACCTCAACAAAAAGGCGCAGGCCTCGCGATGGACCTCAACCCTTCCGCAGAGGCATGCTCACGCAAATCACGCAAAGAAGGCTGAGACAAACAGATAGCTCCATGTGACCATGTTGTAGAGACAAAGTCATGCCACGTGATTGGAAAACTCAAACCAAACCGAAGAAACCCTCTGCGCTTACGAAGACCAAAAGACTGCCCCTAATGCCTCACAAACCAATGAAAAGCCTGTGTTGTCACCAACACCGATGAACTTAGATTCCGAAACAAACACAAATAAGTCACAACGAAACCAAGTACTTATTCATTGTCACACTCGGCAAAGTGGCAGCCCCAACATGCGGAGCTGGGTCAGGTCGCCGAGCTCTTTCGGGAGTTCACCGGACAGGGCGTTGTCCTCCAGGTCCAGGACCTGCCCCAGCTGACTGTGTCTATGCTTCAGCGCTCTACTTGTTTCAAGGTTTGGGTTCCCGAGCCCGACTTCGAGTAAAGTTTTTTTTTTAACGTCCCCTTTCCGATCCGCAGAGGTCTCGGGAAGCGGTTTGTCCGCTGGGCGTACCAGGAATGCTCTGTGGCAGACCCTGAAAAAACCACAGGTTGCACTCATTCGTCACGGTGCTGCTCCGCCCCATGCCACTCATCAGGGTGCTCTGTTTTGCCCTTCATGCCGTCCTGTTTCTCGACATCCAGGCCAGCCGCTGACAGACCCGCTCCATGAGTCGCCCCCGTCATTGTCGGACTTGCCATCGAAGCAACATGGAGCTGACTCGGGTCATGATGCGCGCCACTGTCAGAGAGCTCTAGCCATATGTCCTCGCTATCCCCACAGTGTCTCCTCCATGTCCTGGTCCGGTACGAAGGGCTCCCGAAAGCCAGGTGGACCCCAATCGTGCGCCCGTACCCTCCATCAGTCTGGTCGATGCCTCACTGCCCCCTTCGCCGTTGGTCCTGAGCAGCAATTGCATAGTCACCACGCCGCTGTTGCGTAACCGGGTAGAGGGATCTCGTGGGAACCGGTGGCTCTTGGCCTCGGTCTGTCCGTGTTCATGGAGTCGTAGAGCGCCCAGTCGTCCCACTCCTGCGCCCTTCGAGACTGGAGCTGGGCACGTTCTCTCTCCTCCTGTGCCCGGTCTTGTTCATCCCACCAATCGGCCATATTCTTCGCTGCGGCTTGCCAGTCGCAGTAAAGTTTCAGGTTTAGGGTCATGGATGGCGTTATCCAGCTCACAATGTCTTTGCATGTCATGATGGCGTTACGAAGCCTTGTTGGGCTTGCATTGACAATCTGTGTGTGCTGTGGAAAGGAAACTCTGACGGCATATCCAAGCTTCAGTGTTACGGCCGAGAGACCTCAAGCACAGAACAAAAATCACAACTGCGACCTAACCCCCTTCAGTTGAGCAGCATACTCGCTTGCCTTGAACACATGCCGTGGACTGTAATGTGGCACTGGGCACGCTCTATAGCGTCGATTAGTCATCGAGGGAGCCGATGCAGTAATTTGAGGTCGTGTTTAAAGATGCTCGGTTTGCTAAGTGTTGAAGCCTTTTCTCTGAATTTTGATTGGCCTCAGGCTTGGTTTGCATGGTTTGGGAGACCTTTCTCGGAAGCCCACACGTTCAAGACCCTCAAACCCCGTAAACTCGTTTCAAACCCACCCACGCCCTAAACCCCCGATAACTTAGTGCAGTGCGACTACTATAAATACTATTTCTGGTATAGCCACTGTGTTGAAATCTAAGACCCTCTCCCATGTGTTCGGCCTGGGCTAATTCAGGTCCTCCATAGAAGTTGGAATTTGGCCGGAATAATTTGTTGGATGGGGTTCTCCGGTTCTCCCTTCTGCTAATGGTCAGCTTAGCGAGAGGATGCCTTGAAGCCCGAGGAATCTCATTCGGAGGCCGCAGGCTGGAGCCTTTGCTCGGATTTCAGGAAGCCGCAGGCTGGTTAGCTGGTTTGCATGGTGTTTGGAAGCCCTTGTCGGCATTGCTAGTAATTAACCTACCGCTCCTGACAGCTTGTGGGAGCACTAGACCCTGAAAAATACCGACACCCGCCCGAAACCTTTGTATTTAACCCGGTTTTGTTCTGATTTGTGTTTTTGTTGCTTGGGTGCTATACACTCTAGCAGCTCTAGCAGCACAACCACGGCAAGCCTCGTTGTTTTCGCAGGAAAACCTCTCTTTCCTCCGTAGTTCGTACAATCAACAAACAAAAGCAAAACACAACAAAACTTCGGGTTACTCACATTCCAGCTCAGCCTGCAGTCGCTCGAGCTTCCCCAGCTCCTCGGGAATGGGACCTTCCTCGGTCGATATAAGACAAGCTCACGGAAGCAAGGGATTTCCAAGGTCTATGTTTGGCATGATTTGTGGTGCGTGTGCGAAAGTTGGGTGTGGCTCAGGTGCAATTCAGACTGGAAGAGGCTCAAGGTCTCCGCGTGCTTGGAGGCTGATGTCAAGAGCAACCTCCTTGAAGTGCAGGGGAAAAATATCGCAACGCTTGTTCATACTAGGAAGTCAATGGTGTCGAAAGTCATTAGCAAACAAAACATGCGTCGACACGCACCCCGCCTAGAAATGTTCAAGTTTCCCAATTTGTCTTGTTAGCTGTCATACATTAACTGTTAACTTGTGCACATCATCATCATCATCGCCACCTCTAGTGCCATGGCCATACCACCAGCAGGAAGCTGACCCTCGTCATCGTCGTCATTCTCATTCGCACCTGTCTGGTGGACAAGAGAAGCTGGTTCATCTGAAGTTCATCTTAGTTTCAACAACCACCAGCCGGCATGAACATTATGGTATGGTCGTTACAATTATTTCTCCATGCCCACCAGCAGTCACCAGCATCACCACCGCAAAGCAGCAACACCAGTACCACGGCGATCGTTGTCATCACCACGAGTACAATGCTTTCGGCGCTGTCGCGAAAACATCCACGACCAGCATCAAGGCAGCATCACCGTGGCTTCCAGACTCAGACTCTGGGCCGCTCGATGCATGTTGCGGCTCAGATTCTAGAAACAGCAGCCAAAGAAAGGGCCACGCTCAACCTTACCATAAGCAGAAAAGGTTTTCCATTCCAGAAGCAAGCCTCCAGATAGTTGGAAGCAAGGTCGAGCGCTTTAAGGCTACTGAGCCCACCAAGCTCAGCTGGAATTGTTTCTCCGAGTCGATTCCTTGGGGCAGGTCCGAAGAACGAATCCCATAGCTCCATGGAGAAGTCAGAAGGATGCTTGACGACAAGTAGGAGGATTATGATGATGGTGACGGTGTTCATTCTGTCATCTTGAAGTGAGGATATTGACTATAAGTAAACAGTAGCGGCCGTAGCGACTGAGGTTCATAGACTGCTATCTATCAAGTGGACATCCTCCCTCTTGAAGTGAAGTACAAGGATGACCACGTCGCACGAACACAAGCGATTGAATTAAGACCACTCAGCCGCAGAAAGGGCTCCAAAAAGTGTTGAGACAGTCGTGACAAAGGCTGCCATCTCGTGCTATTCGTACACACAATGTATTCACCCCCTTAACAAAGATGAAAAATGGACGTGAATGTCAGTACGCAGCGGCCGAAACAGCCTCGGGACTGACTGCATGTCGATGTTGTTACTTCGGTAATTTGCGTACCTCTTTGGGGGATCTTGCGGGAAAGGACTTCGCGGCTACGCGAAGAGCCTTTCAAAGGAGAGCCTGGCTTCATTTGAAGATGCTTGACATCCGCTTATCTGCATGGCAGTCTTCGTGCGCAGCATGAACAGGACATACCAGCTTCAATTCACTGCGAGCTTCCTGTAAAGCTGTTTATGCATCTCAAGCTCACTTGAAGCCGCAATTTTTCCAGAAGCCGCAGCCGACCAAGGGAGGCTGGTATGCCACCGCTGAGGTAGTTCAGCTGCAAGTGAAGTGAAGTCTCAGTGGTGACACAGGATGTTGGGGAAGTTGGTCTGGAGTAATCCAAGATAGGAGTGGGAGTCCCGCAAGGAAGGGGGGAGGAACCTTGACTGAGTTGTTGGTAACAGTCTACAGGACTAGAAGCCAGGAATGAAGCTTAACAAGGACGCGACAACACGACAAGAAGCAACAGCAAGGAAGACAACCACCCCTATAACCTATAGCATATAATCTCTATACAGATCATGCAGCTCAAACCCAAAAGCCGTTTTGGAAGCGCCGGGATGCCAGCTTTCCCAATCGGCCCAGCTCGTCAGGAATGGATCCTCGGTCGGACTTTGCATGGAAAAGCCCGGCGTTGCCAGAAGGCTTAGCTTGTAG